ATAAATCAGGGAAAATTTAATGAGATAGATGACAAATGTACTAGGTTGTGCCTTCATCACACTCTACACTTTAAAGTGGATAGTTAATCGAACCAAGTGACCTCCCCCTATTCCTTTAGAGAGTCACGACCTCAACCGTACTCCCACTTTGTACGGTTGCAATGCTTCTTCCTTTAGCATTGTATCCCTTACTAGGGTTTTAAACCATGCAGACATAGTTACAACAGTTTATAAGATGTAGTTACTCTAAGAATGTTATATCGATGAGTCTTTTAACTCATCATCATATTGTGATGTTTGGGGATCAGTATTGAGACAGAGCAGGGTCATTTTACAAAACTTCTTGTCGTTCCCTTAGAGAATCTTTTCTCTTATCTCCCCCTAACGACAGGAAGACTATCGCAATAAAGTGACAAATCACTAGTGTAATGGTATCTGCCAAGGTTGGATAATGGCGGATCATAGTTGGAGATCCATGTCCAATATGATTACCGTTGTGTTAGAGACCCATTATTGTGTGTTGTGGGGAACACAATAGGCACATATACTTCACAACCAAATATGCATAAAGTAAAATCTCAGGCTAATGTCCAGTTACCAACTGGTATGCAAAAAATGGTATAATAGTATTGGGTCAAACACATATGAGTATAGTTGCATGCAAAAGTTATTTTATCCCATGATGTTATATACATGTTAGTGCGCTTAATAAATATCATAATCCCCATCTAAGTTCTTTTAAATGTGATTGAAAATGATACCATTGTTTCATATAGGTATGAGATACGTACTTTGATCCCAATAAAAGTGCAATAACAATCATATATTTTGTTATGGGCTTTTCTAGTTTTGACAAGTATTATATATATACTTGATGGGGGTGGTGAGTCCTCAAAATGATTTTAGAACTTTTGCAAGTGCAATATTATGTGAACAATCAACATATAACTAGTGCGTTAATTTGACCTCTACGCTTAGATGATCCACATTGTATATACGTAAGTCTACATTAACATATTTTTTTGTGTAAGAATGAGATTCTCACAGTTAATTTTATGTGGAATGACAACAACTGACATACATACAGTCTATAAACTAATAGGCGTCAAATGTCTCTAGGTGCGTATAGAGACTGTGGAAAAATATGTCTTTTCATATATACAATGGCCTTGCAGATTATAATCTCATAATCACATATGAATGATAAAAAATAAATCTAACGAGTCATATAATCCACAATTCATTGAATCCTCATTTTTTTCATTCTAGTACTTGAGAGTATCAATAAATCAAATAAACAATCAATATGAATTAAAGTGTTTCAATGAGTAGAATGAGTCACATGACATTCTTTTGGTCATTCTAGTGTCATTATTAATGTTGAATAACATTGAGGTTTATATTAGGTCAATGACAATTAAAGTGCATCACATAGTCCTTTGAAACAAACTAGGTAGGGAAAGTAGTTATAAAATATATATATATATATAAGGTCATACGTATGTAGATCAATTAAAACAAAACATACGGAGTATTCATTAGCCAAGGAAAAATGCCGCAAAAATAATGTTCACTAGGAAGGATAGAAATAAAAAAACATCATCAACTCGTGACTAATGGGTGCTTAGTTCTCATGACTCGCACCATGATCCACTTGGTATCGCTCATCCATGAGCATTAGATTGATAAGCTCGTTATACTTTGTGAAACTTTTAGTTTCATACTCATGCCAATATTTCCATGCTTGTATGATGGCTGATTTTGGAAGGGTGAAAAGAGTCTTTTGAATCATAACATCTTCTGTGAGTGTTAACCCACGAGAACTCAATCTTTCTTTTAAGGATAACATCTCCCGATTAAAATCGGCTACCCTTATGTAATGTGAGAAGTGAATTTCATTCCACTCTTTGATTATTCCTCGGAGTGTACTA